CATCTACTCAAATTGCTGCCACATCTACAAAACAACACACGTCTACGCCAAATCACCTCCACATCACCAACTTCTTACCGTTTACTTGAAGGCTACCTATAAAAAAGGCTAGGTGGACAATTTTTTTTTGGTTTGTGACTCGAATAATCACTTATGTAAGTTTAGGTTGCGGCATGACATATAGCATTTGGTTCATGGTGCTATTTGACACTTGAGCCTTTTTAATATTGTTTTAATGTTATGAGTTGAGAATTATGATTATTTCATTTATTTGGATGTGTTATTTGATTGAATGTTGAAAGCAGCCTCATTAAAATTGTCAAACTGCAAGTCTGTCACTGTTTTTTTTTTTGTGCCCGCCTAGATTCCGCCTAGGCGCCGCCTAGGCCGTTTAGGCGCTAGGTGCTCAATGAGTTGCATGATGCGATGTACGATATACAGCCAAAGCGCTGTGGGATGGATGCCTTGGACCACAAGTACAAAAACATAAAGAAATTTGATATATATACAACAATATGTCACAGCCAAAGCGCTGTGGGATGGATTCCTTGGACCACAAGTACAAAAGCGAATATGTCGGGGCAAAGAAATTTGTTATCAGTTGACTCCTTGATTTTAAAATGGTGGATTCCATGACTGTGTTAAGTTAAGTTGAAGAGATTCTAGTACTCTTCAACGTGATCCGTGACAAAGGCATGGTGGTGAGTGAAGCCTTTCAAGTGTCATCTATAATCCACTTGCTACCTCCCTGTTGGAAGGACTTCAAGTATTAAAGGACGTGAACCTGAAGCGGTTGATGGGGCTCCGAATTAAGGAGGACAATAGGAAGAATGATAGGAAGGTTCCTGTCGCTAGTGGTGCTAAAGCCAACATTGTGGAGCACGGTAAAAATTCCAAATATGCTGAAAAGGAGAAGCAAAAACTTAGTCCTAAAGTTGGCATTTCCTAGAACAAGTTCAATGGAAAATGCTCCAACTATAGCAAAAATGGCCACAAGTCACTGATTGCAAAGCTTCGAAGAAGAAGAATAAGAATTCTCAAGCCAATCTAGTTGAGAAAAGCAATCAGAAGAAGGTCGAGATTAGCCTTTCGGCCATGGTGGCTGAGGTTAACCTCGTGGGCTCCAACCAACGTGAATGGTTCATCGACACCGATGTAACAATGCACATTTGTTGTAATTGTGAGTGCTTACCACCTTTGAAACCGTGGATAGCGAGAAGGTGTCGATGGGAAACTCTGCTCAGTTTGTTGTGGAAGGCATGAGGAAAAGTAGTTCTGAAGATGACACTGGGAAGGAGTTGACGTTGAATAATGTGTTATATATCCCAGTGCTACGAAAGAATCTAGTGTTTGGCTCATGCTAAACACGCATGGATTTAGGATAGTATTTGACTCAAATAAAGTAGTTTTGTCTAAGATGGGCATGTTTGTAGGAAACATGATATGTAACTGGTGCACTTTTTAAGCTCAATGTATGAATGTTACTACCAATAAAAGCAAAGTTAATTCTGTTTACATGTTTGGGTCTTTTAATTTGTGGCACGGTAGACTAGGTGATGTTAATTTTAACTCTATACGTAGATTAATTAACATGGACCACATTCCTACATTCTAAATTAACACAAATAACAAATGTGAAATTTTTGTTAAGGCAAAATTGACTGAAACACCTTTCAAATCGATTGAAAATGAAACTGAACCACATGATTTAATCTATAGTTATTTGTGAGACTTTAAATTGACACAAACAATAGGTGGTAATAAATACTTTATCATATTTATTGATGATAACACACTTTACTGTTATGTGTATTTGCTTAAAAACAAAGATGAAGTCATCGAATAATTCATTCTTTATCATAATGAAGTTGAAAATCAACTTAATCATAAGATTAAAAAGGTTATAAGATATCAAGGTGGTGAGTACGAAATACCTATTGGCGATTCCTGTACTAGCGTAGGTATCGTTCATGAGTGTATGACACCTTATGCACTTCAATTGAACGATGTTGTTGAACATAAAAATCGTACATTGTAAGAGATTAGATGATGAATGTGATGTTGATATGTTCGGTCTTACCTCAAAATATGTGGGGTGAGACTATTTTGAAAAGCATTTACCTTTTAAATAAGGTACACCGCAAGAAGCTCGATAAGAGCCCTTATGAGTTGTGGAAGGTAGAAGGTCATCCTACCAATAATTGAAAGCATGGGGGTGTCTTGCCAATGTATTGGTGCCAACACCTAAGAAAATAAAAATAGGTCCCAAAATGGTGGACTGTATTTTTATTGTCTATGCACCAAATAAGTGCGTTTGCACACATTTAATTCGCGTTCGCACACACTTAATCTAATCTAGACCATTAAAAAATATTAGATGGATACACACGATTTGTTCTCACGTTCTCACCTAAGCAAGTGTTCTCATACGATCCTATATATATATATATATATATATATATATATATATATATATATATATATATATATATATATATATATATATATATATATATATATATATATATATATATATATATATAGGGAAGGGTTCAGGTGCGGGAATGACTTCCCGTGCGGTTAGACGCACCTTAATCACTAAAATGTCGCACATTAAGTATTAATTTCGCGCATCTTAGTTTAAACATGACGCACTTTAAGCATACGAATCACGCATCTTAAGCACACAACACACGCACATTAAGCGCAAAACTCACGCGCATTAAGCACAAAACTCACACACAAGCATACGAATCACACACCTTAAGCACACAACACACGCACATTAAGCGCAAAACTCATGCACATTAAGTTTCAACAACTACTCACATTAAGCACTAACCCCATGCACCTTAAGTTTCAACAACTGCTCACCCCACGCACCTTAAATTTACTTAGATGCAAAAATTACCAATTGCCACCGCACCTTAAGCACACAACACACGCACCTTAAATTTACCTGGATGTAAAAATTACCAATTGCCATTCCGAATCTGTTACATTGTAGTATCTGTTCAAACATACACAAAAAGTCAACAACGCCTCTCCTAAGGTTCGATCTCATGACCTCTCATATAGGACATGTCACTACATGCTATCTGAGTACAAGGTGGTTAACATATATATATATATATAGGAAAGGAATGGCACAACGAATAAGTAGTGTAATAAAGAAGGATTGAGAAAGCAGAAAAGTAGTAAATTAAAGTAGTACTTAGTATTCTAGTAAAAGAAAAAAAAAAAGTTCTGTGCTTCAAGCTGTGGCATATTACTTTGTAGTATCTTTGTCACAACGCCATTTATATCACAGGTCAATATAACTGTGCCCATTGCAATTGCATTGTAAAGTAGATTTTGCATTTCAGACTGGTTTAATTTAATAATAACAAGATTGCTGATTAATTTACTTCCTTCTAATCCTTTATCGGTTAAAATCATAATTCATAAAGTGCGCTTTATTCAGAGCACACATTTACTCGAAACTCACCTTCATTTAAAGTGCACTGCACCTTGATAAGATGAATTTTTTTGTAAATAAATTTTTTTTGTCAGGCTCTACCACCATTTTTTTAAAAATATAATCCTTTAAAATCATTGAATTTAGTTTTGTTAATCTCAAATTTTAAAAGACTATAAATTATAAGAAAATTTTATTGTGTCATACATAACAACATCATATATAACAGTATAATACTTGTATGTATTATGTAGAATTTTTATTTTTATTTTTATAAATTATTACTGAAAATTTCTTTCATGATAAAGGTAGAGGACAAACAGAATTCCACGAGAAGCCAGGGGAGGTATCTGAGTTAATTAGTTTTCGACTTTTCGTATGTAGTACAGACTACAGATACTATATTTATCTGATCTGTCGGTTATTATTATTATTATTATTATTACTATATTTATCTGATCTGTCGGTTATTATTATTATTATTATTATTATTATTATTATTATTATTATTATTATTATTTGTGTTATTATTATTATTTATTAGGAAAAGGGTCAAATATGCCCTCGAACATTAGCTTAAAAGTCAATTAGGCCCCTAAGCTTTTTAAAGGTGCAATTACACCCATCAACAATTCATTTAGGTTCAATGAAGCTCAAAAACAAGTTAATGACCGGCTATCACAGGTCATTAGGGTTCAGGCCACCTTCCGGTGATTTTTCCGACAAAAAAAAGTGACCAGCAACCAACCCAGATTTGCTGAAAATTTCGCCGGTCACTTTTTTTGCTGGAAATTTCGCCGGTCACTTTTGTTTTTTTTGCCGGAAATTCGCCGGAAGGTGGCTTGAACCCTAATGACCTGTGCTAGCAGGTCATTAATTTGTTTTTGGGCTTCATTGCACTTAAATGAATTGTTGATGGATGTAATTGCACCTTTAAAAAGTTTAGGGGCCTAATTGACTTTTAAGCTAAAGTTCGAGGGCATATTTGACCATTTTCCCTTATTATTATTATTATTATTATTATTATTATTATTATTATTATTATTATTATTATTATTATTATTATTATTATTATTATTATTATTATTATTATTATTAGGCAAAAACTTGTGTGAGACCGTCTCACGAGTCTTAATCCGTGAGACGAATCCGATCTTTGATTGATAAGACTAAAGATTCAACTCTTTAATCAAGGATTTTACCCATTACCTTAGAGTTGGGGTTCAGCCTTTTGGAAGAAGGATTTTACCCATTACCAAAGATCTGACTCATTTCATATATTGAGACCCGTAAGACGACCTCACACAACAATAATTGACCATTTCAAACCCGACCTTAAAGTAAATTAAAAATAAAATAAAAATAAAAAAATACTCGCCCGAGTTGAAGTCTAGTCGACCGGCTAATTAAAAGACACCAATGGATGAAATCTCGTTAGTCTTGGGGAGCCTAATGCCTAGTCCAATTTTCATTTTTTTTTCTCTTAAAAAGGAAAATTGGCTTAGGCACTAGGCGCCCCTGGCCAATTTTTACAACATTGATGGAGGGTGCAAAATTCCAAATGTTGTTGATACATAAATTTGCATAGTTTTTACACTCGTTAAACCAAAATTATTTTGTACAAAGGAATGGCGGCTAATAAATTAGTAATTACAACTAAAGAGGAAAGGATGAAAAGATAAATTTGGAAGGTTTTTAGAAATGGAGATGAGAGAGGTTGAACCAAATATGCTGAAACGCCTTAATGATGAGGGCATGATACTCGTCAGAATTCAAGGAAAGATAACAAGCAAGAAGATCTTCCAAGTCCTTTGAACTCTTTATATTGTTCTCCACGATCATCTCCATCATCGATTCTTTGAAATCCTTCTCCGGATCCAACGAAGCCTTAACCACCGCAAAGCTCCCGGAGAAGCTCTTCTTCTTCGCCGCCGCCGCCGCTTTTGATCGCTTTCCCGACGACGACACGCTTTTCCGGGCATGGCTCTGGATTTTCCGGCTGCCTATCTTGGGAGAATTCACTCGAAGCTTCACTCCCGTGGACTGCGAGAAAGATTTCCTTGGTCTACTCTTGCCGCCGCCGCCGCCGCCGCTCCTCTCCTCCTTCATCGTCGACCCTTCTTCGTCTACGGCGTCAGAGTTTCTTGAATTTCCGGCGGGGAGCTTGGTGAGAATTGGCCGGAGGTCTAGCTCGGAGATGGCTAGCTCTTCCGTCCGGGATTTCTCGTTCATGTCCAGGACTATATCCGTGGCGGAGGAGCTGAAGGAGCTCGACCAGGAAGCGAGCCCGTTGAACGACTGCGGCAAATCGCCGGCGTCGGAATCGAACTCCGACGTCGGCGATTTGAGCAAATCGTCAAACTCGGCCAAAGGAGACCAACCATCTCTATCCAAGTACCAATCCCCTTCACCGCCGCCACAAGTACACAGAGCCGGAGAAGGCCTGTAAATTGTCTTCCTCCTCGACCGCCGCCGGGAAGACCTTCTCGGAGGATCAAGAAAGTGAGAATTCCCGGAGGATTTTGTGTTCGCCGGCGAATTGTACAGCTTGTAGCCTTTAGCACCAGAGTCTCTGGTGTAATAATAGGATTGCCTAGGCTGAGAAACATTCGGGTTGCGAAAACCAGATGTCGACGAGGTTTGGTTTTGGGTTTTCTTCTTAGAAGAGGTTCTTGTTTTTCTCCCCATGTCTCTAAGCTTGTAAAACCAGGCATTTGGGATCATGTCTGATAACCTAAACTTGTGATTGCCCATATATATCTGTTTAGTTTTGTGTTTTCCCAGAAACTAGACAGAATAGTTTTGGCACAGTAGTATCATGGCAGATGGAAGAAAGTTGTATATAGTGAAAGGCAGAGGGGAAGATTTATAATACTATAATGAGAGGAGGGTCCCTGTTGCCCTGTGATATGAAGCGCAAGCGAAGCATAAGGCCATGTTTGGTTAGAATAATGGCCCCCGGATTTCTATCATCACGGACTGCACACGCCTTTTCTCCTTATATTGTCTGTCTATAATTATGGTACACCCCGGAATGTTTTAATAATTCCAGTGATACTCCAAGCCCCGGAATGTTTTAATAATTCCAGGGCGGATCTAAAAATCTTTTTGAGTAGGGGCGAGAAGGTTAAAACTAAGGAGATATTTTGTAGAAAAAAAAAATTACTTAGAGACCGAGTCATAAATATTGTTGACTAGAGATAAAAATCAAAATACATCCAAATAAAAAAAAATATTTAAAGCATATTAATTAGATAAAATAGTTTGAATGGAAAACACATTATAAATCACTATCTCACTATTAATATTAAAAGAGAACAAAATAAAAATAAAAAAAGAGAAGAATTCACAATGTTTCAAATAAAAAATTCAATTAGAATTCTCACTATTAATATTAAAAAATGCGAAAAACATAATTTGCTCATCTCACTATTAATATTAAAAAATTAACAAACAAGCCACAATGTTACAAATAAAAATCCAATTAGAATTATCAATATTGATATTAAAAAATTCGGAAAAAAAAATTAAGTGTTGTAGATTCAAACCGCTAACCATTTCATATTATATGGAAATAATAGCATTACCATCTAACCCAAATTAACCTTTGTTTAAGTTTTGGTATATTTAATATATATACAATATATATGGTGTGGGGGAGTGGAGGCAATTACCCCCACTATGGCTCTGCCACTGATTCCAGTGATACTCCAAATCCTGAAAAACTAGAGACAATATATAATTATAGAATAAGTCTTATTTGAGACAGTCGTCTAACTGTTGTCATTACAAATAGAAGATCGCAGGTTTGAGTCCTATCCGAACCGAGGATGTTGGTGTAATCATGTTGAGTAGATACTATGTATAGATTAAGTTGTAGTTATTAAAAAAAAAAAAAAAAAAAAAAAAAAAAAAAAAAAAAAAAAAAAACCGTCTCACCGTCAGACGCACAATATCTTTTAATTTTAAAAAAATAAAAATTGTTATGAGTGCATAAATAAAGTATTATATTTTAACTAAAAAGTAATACATCTTTCAAAAAAAAAAAAGTAATACATATTTCACGTGAAATGATCTCACGCAAGACTTACTCATCTTCTCTCAAATATTGTCTATTGAACCAGTGAGCTAAGCTCGTGCGAACACACACAATACTTACTTATACTCATAATCAGGGTTGTAAAAATCCCGCCTAGGCACCGAGTAATCGGCGCCTAGGCGCTAGGCGCCCATAGGCCGTGGCGATTTCCGCCCTAGGCTCCCGCCTAGGAGACCGGCCGCCTAGGCGTCCGCCTAGCGCCTAACTCGTCCGATTACGCCGAGTTAACTCGTCAATTTCTGTCGAGTTAGTCGAGTTAACCCGACCGACTCGACCTTGCTAATTTTGTCCATTTATATGACATATACATATAATATGACATATATACACTCGTAGACTAGTTTGATACTTTCAATCATTGGATGATTGAAGTATTTGGGTATTTCATTTGAGTTTTTTTTTTTTTTTTTTAATATTCTTTTGATGTTATGACTTATGAATTGTCATTATGTCATTTATTTGGATGTGTTATTTGATTGAATGTTGAAAACAGCCTCATTAAAATTGTCAAATTGCAAGTCTGCTACTGTTTTTTTTTTGCGACCGCCTAGCGCCGCCTAGATTCCGCCTAGGCGCCGACTAGGCCGCTTAGGCGCTAGGCGCTGCCCGGGCGCCCGACTAGCGCCCAGCGCCTACTGCAACCATGCTCATAATTGGTGTAATAGTCAAAAAATAACGGAGAAAAGATATGATTGTACTTGGAGTGGTAGGCAAACTCCAAAACAAAGAGGTGAGAATTGGAAAACAATTTGTAATGGCCCCGAAGGTTAATAACACGGAACAATGACGAAAGAGTAAGCAGAAACCAACAGAAGAAGTTGGGAACAAATACTAGCCATTCCAGCCAAAATGTCAACGTTGGAAGGGCCGGAAGTTGAGGCTATTAAAAGCCTTCAAACGACACTGTTTGAAGGATAGTAGGAACCCAAGCAGCTCGTTGAGAAGCAATTACTACAGCTGGATTATTAGATTGTTATGATCTGGAAATTGAATAGCTATGTTTCCCAGCTTATAAATGTAAGTTCCATCAATTGTGTTGGATGTCTTTGAAAAATCAATGAACTTCTAGATTCTTCTCTCTACTATCTCTTCTCTTCCCCAATTTCTCTCTTCTCCTTTTCTCCCTTCTCTCTGCAACTTTCTAGTATAGGGGCATTACAGTTTGTATCATAGCCCAATCATGGATACACGTGTGAGCAAATTGGAGGCCATAGTGGCTGATCTTAGTATCCAAATGGAGGTGCAATCGAAAGCTACTCGCGATTTGATGGAGAAGTTAGTAGCTCAGATGGATAACAGGATAACCAGCTAGAAGGATGACATTCTAGAGACGATCAGACTTAATTGACCTCCGCCTCTGGTAATGGATTTTGTTCTAGGTTGGTCATCAGTGAACGGTGCAGGTTAGGTACCTCCTTCCACATCACAACAAGTTCTAAACCATCAAGGAAGAAAGCCTGGAAATGATCTTGCTGCATTGATGAGCACCGCCGGATTGGAGGATGGTGTAGCAGTTGATGAGGATTCTGGTAGTGAGGTGGAGCCGAGGAGAGGTCAACTTCCAGACCGACAACCTAGGCAGAACATTGATAATCCTTTGATGATGTACAAATACGATTTTTCTCTTTTTGATTATGATCATCCTAAATTGTGGATTAATAGGTGTGGGAGATTCTTCCTAATGTCTCATATCCCTAGAATTGAGGTGATGCATGTGTTGTATGTGAATTTAACAGGCAAAGTAGGTTTGTAGTTTGAGGGATACTTAACTGGATTAGAATGGCCTTTCCAGTGAGCACATTTTGCAGGAGTTGTGTAGGAGGTTTGGGGGGAGGGGAGATAGTGGAACCGTGATGGAAGAATTTTCTAGCTTTAAGCAGTTTGGTGAGTTCTGGAGTTTAGTGACAGGTTTGAAGAATTCAGAAGCTTGTTACTTCAAAATCACCCACCCTCATAGATACATATTTCCTTGAAGCCTATATAGCTAGGTTGAAACAAAATCTCAAGTGTTGTGAGGACCCCTCAACCTAAAATCCTAGCAGATGCAATATGATTTGCCAAGCAATTTGAGAAGGGGTTCAAGGCCAGTGATTAATTTATAACCGCTCTCCATTTTACACCAAAACCTAACCAACCTGCAAATTTTCAATCTACAAAACTCTATACCCTTAAACCTACTGAACCTAGATATGCAAATTCCCAAGGATAAACAACATCTAATAGCTTAAATAGAACTGCTAAGGGCCCTGATGTAGCCAAATTTAAATCTCAGTTGATGGAGCAGAACATGCATTTTATATGTTTTGAACCTTGGCAACCTGGCCAAGATGCAAGGGCCCCACTTTTAATACCATTAAAGAGAGTGAGTTCTATGACACCTCTGAGGAACTGAGCACTAAAGAATCCGAATGGGAAGTGATATAAGCAAGTGGACATACTGAGGTTTCCTTATATGTTATGATGGGAGGAAAAGGCTTCAACACAATTAAATTGTTGGGATCCATCAGTAAGTAGCAGGTGGTGATTCTAGTTGACAGTGGGAGTACTCACAACTTCTTAGATCCAAAGTTACTCACTTAATTAAGGATTGAATAAAAGAAAGCTCACCCCCTCATTGTTGCCGTTGCTAATGGAGAACAGTTGTCTTGTGATTCCACCTATAAAGGGATGAAGTTGCAGGTTCAGAATGAGGTGTTTGAGAAGGACTTCAGATTATTGAGGCTAGGGGGTTGTGACGGTCCTTGGAATGAATTGGATAGATCAATTTGCACCTATCCAACTACACACTAGACCTCTTGGCATCTCATTCCACAAGGAAGGAAAGAAAGTGTTATTGAAAGGACTAATCAGGAAAACCAACAAATTACAAGCATCATCCAAAAAAAAGATACCAAAAAATGGCGGAAGTTTGGTGCTCAAGGGTTTTTGGTGCAATGTGAAAGCTTGGTTGGGATGGACAGTGAGCACATGTGCTTCACAATCACTTTGCAGACAGATTTTAAAGAACTGGCTGAGTTAATTCAAGAGTTCCAGGAATTGTTTGAGGAACCTAAGGCCTTACCTCCAATAAGGATTTATGATCATACAATTCCCCTCATACCAGGAGCTCAACCTTTGAATTAAAAAACCCTATAGCTATTCCTTTGATCAAAAGAATGACATAGAAGAAATGGTAGAAGAAATGTTGAAGACATGGGTGATTATAGAAAGTGTTTCCCCATTTGCCTCTCCTATTTTGATGGTCCCAAAGAAAGATAAAACTTGGAGATTTTGCATTGACTATAGAGAATTGAATAACATCACTATAGAGAACAAATTTCCTATTCCTTTGGTAAAGGACCTTTTCTCTGAGCTGGCAGGATCCATATACTTTACTAAATTGGATTTTAGGGCAGGTTATCATTAGGTAAGGATGAAAGAAGGGGATGAGTACAAGACTGTTTTTAGGACCCATCGATGTCTTTATGAATTCAGGATCATCCCCTTTAGTCTCACCAATGCCCCCAACAACATTCCAAGCTCTAATGAATCATGTGTTCAAACCATTGTTGAGGAGGTTTGTCTTGGTCTTTTTTTTTTTTATGACTTCCTGACCTATAACCCTGATCTAGAGACACATTGGGGCTATCTCAAAGAGGTTTTAAGGCTCATGAGAGAGCATAAGCTACTAGCCAAACTCAACAAATGTTTCTTTGCAAAGGAAGAGGTGGAGTATCTAAGACATTTCATTTCTGGATCTTGTATGCATACTGACCCCTCTAAACTGCAAGTTGTGGCCTAAAATTGTGTCAATCAAAGGCCTAAGGGGATTCCTAAGACTGACTGGCCATTATAGAAGGTTTATTAAGTCCTATAGTATCATTAGGA